ATGCATTGGGTTAGTACAAAAACTTGTCCTCCAATTTTCTTTTTAGCCCACTACCCTCCTGAGTGAAATGCATTGCTATATGTCTCCTTCTCATTGCAGATAACAGCAAATATTGGCTGTTCAAAACCAAAACACATCTCTTAAGCTCCTGTCAGACAAGAGGTTCCCACTCAGTGTGACGTCATTGCTTTTGTGGCTGCAGCATTTGGTTGCTTAGGCAGTTGTTCACTAATAATAACCATTTAGTCCTTGCGGTAAAGAAAATCCATTCCTTTTTACTGACTTTTCATCCAATTTCTAAGACTCATTTAATGTTTAAATTGATTTCTTTTTTTAAGATTTACTTTCTCTGTATATCATTGCAGTTATATGTTGTTGCTTATTTCTGTTGCATGAAGTGATCAAATTCACACCTGGATTAATTAGACATCTATCAACTATTCTTCTGCATTTCTAAGCTTTACCTCCAGACAGTATGTGTGATTTAACCTGACAGATTTTGTATTAGTTAAGGGTCCAAACCTCAGGCTGGCTAAACAAGGATGTTAATTTTGGTGGTCTTGAACCATGATATTGAAAGATTAGCAGTGTGCTTTGTATCATGAGTTGTTGAAAAGCCTACAGGATGTTTCCTTTTTGGCATACGTGAGCATCACCTTCTCATGTATTATTATGAACTCAAATGCAGCCTAAATATCTACCATATGAATAGCAGTCCAGACATACAGTTTTCAGTATTCAGATATACAGTGTTTTGTGGTTTATTAAACTGTCTCCAGCCCCTTGAACTTACCCCCAGAAAAGACAATCTTCATCCACAAAATATTGCTTCATTTTCCTTTAGGGTGGTGAATATCTCCTTTGTCAAATGGCAAGCTGGAGGGTCTGCTTCCTGATAGCTTGGCTTCACATAGGCATACTCTATTTGTTGCCGCACAAAAAGGTAACAGTAGTTCAAAGCATTTCAGATCATTTCAGCTGAGCAGCCAGTCGAGTTACTATATGTGCTTCTTTATACAGTTGCAAACAGATATTTACACAATGTATAAAAGCACAGCCTTTTTCTTTATTGTCTGAAATTAAATGATATGACACCTGTTTATGTTCAGATCAGCTACAAATAGACAAAGAAAAAAATTTATATTTTATAAATGCCAACATAAGAATACATTTTAAAGTTTTTATTCCATTACTTTCTTCAAAAATCAAAGGTTTACATATGCTAAGACTGGTGTGTCTTTTAGCAATTTTAGGACAGCTCAGCTGATGTTTACAACTGTACAGAGCAGAATGTATTTTAAGTATTTTTCTTAATTATGTCCAGATATCTGAATGAACATTGCAGAGACCCAGAAGAAGTCCATCTTTTGGTAATATTTCTAGATACCTAAAATTTCCACACTCATATGTTCAGGAAAGATAAGTGGTATCTGTCTTAGTGATGAATAGGTTTTGGAGAACAGATCTATGCAAAAAACCTTGTAAAAAAAGTTGGTAAGAGTGTTTTGATATCCACAGTTATACAAGTCCTATACCAGCATGTGTTGCTTGGTTGATTGAAAATAAAACATTGTTCCAAGTAAAAGATAAAAAAAAACAGATTAGATGTTGCCTAGTTGAGCAAAAAGGCTTTAATTTTAGAAGACGTGTTCTGTGTTTAGATGAAACTAAAATTAAAGTATGCCATTTGGATGTGAAAAATTTAAAGCAAAAGAGGGATGATCGTAAGACTGCTTTTAGAGGGATTTGTGGGGATGTTTGCAGCAGGATGGAATGGTACCCTTCATACAGTAGATGGAATCACGAAGAGAGAACATTAGCTGGTATTGCAGCAGCTTGGTCAAAATTTGATTCTCTAGCTGGAAAATGACCTTAAGTTCAGAAAAGCAGAAAAAAGTCACTGTTTTGGAATAGCTATCACACAGGCCAAATCTCATTTCTACAGGAAATGTGTGGATAAAAATAAAAAGGCAATCACTTAAGTGTTTATTTTCATTCAGTTTAAGGAAGCCTTGGAATTCAGAATTTTTTTCTTTTGTTCTGGCGAAAGGTTTTAGCAGTGATCTCTTTTGTAATTCAATTCATAACTCAACTAAAAATGTAAACCAGACTTATATGTATTTATATTTATAGTATAGCTGATTAGGACCACATACAGTCAAAGCCAAGGTTGGAAACATTCCACAACGACTTCTTGGCCTGATGTGGGTCCAATCTAAGCAAAGCAGTGGCGAAACCAATCTGCAAAAAACTAGATACAAACCTTCATGTTTGCACAGGAAAGCCAATGTAGACGTCACTTCTCCCTTAAAATGCTTGCACTGACACAAACAAACAGGAGACCTATAGATTTGCACTTGTCTTTGAGAAGCTAATACATTAATTATGGATTTTACAGCAACACATTTAGCTCATCTGTGGCATTCGTATTGTCATCTGTCCATGAGCCACAAAAAACGATCTCTGTCTTGTGTTCTTTATTAAATCCTGCTTTTCTTTCCTTATCAACTTCTACATCAGTGTTACTGTTCTGTGCATTACTTACATATACTTTACTAGCTTTGTTTTGGCTCCTGTAGCTTTGTGCTATTTGTTTTTTTCAACATGGTCTTATTAGCAAGGACTTTCCGGCCAAAGCAGATGTGCCCCAAGATTCGCCATAAGTTCTGTTCAAATAGTGTTGTCAACAAGTATGGAAATACGAAAGGGAGCCTATGTGCTTCAGGTCATAGCTCCTGAGCACAATGAGCTTTTGAGGTCCCTCAGTGGTGCAACAGAGCTACAAGGAATTCCACAACTCTTTGCGTGACATAATGTATAAAGAAATTTACGAAAATAAACAAAAATATCAGAATACAGAGATCAGCAGTACATTTATAGCCAGATTATTGTTTTACGTGTACTGTGTGTGACACATGGAAATGTACACACCTTTAGTTTTTATAATCCTTGAACAGGCCACCAAGCTGTTGCTCTGACCCTCTCTCCTGTTGAGCCGATGAAGAAATTGCGCTGAGCTGTTGCATCCAGAAGTTGCCTTACAGGCTCAAAGTGACTGCGAGTGATACAACTTAAGATTCTATAAAGTCCCTGTGTTGCTGTGTGCCTGTGAGTCTGAGGTCCTTGGAGTGGCTGTGACAGACTGAGGAGCAGGTCTTCTGCAACAGTGAGATCTTTGCTGGTCATGCAACCTGAAATTCAGAATCAGACCACAGATTCTTCCCACAACCAAGGCAAAGACATAGCATAATTTTAATTTGCTCTTTAATGGATTTTTTTTTTTTTTGCCTGGACGAGGAGAATAAGCAGATAAATGTGTATTGGTTTATTCAGATAAAAAACTCCTAGAAACTATTTTGCTGATGTGATTTGTTCTGTTATTAAGAGCAGGGCATGAAGCAAATTTTTTTGGCCACCAGACAAACTTTTTTACGCCTAAAATAAAGGTGAGCGACTCAGAAAATGCTTTAGTTCTTGAACTTGTACAGAAATCACATTAAAGTGCTGTCGGGTTATTAACCAAGTTAATCTCATTTATAACTCGACCTTCATCATGACAGATGTATCTGACCTGGTTTGACTTACATTTCATATAGAAAATGACAGGAATACAAACAGCCAATCTTCTCAGTAATGGTCTCATTTATTTAGCTAGCAGTCAGCTTCAAATCTAATTAACTGTATAACCGTCTCTTTCTCACTGTTTGGACCCAGGTTCAACTCTGTTTTCCTTTCTTTTAAAGATTTTCAGTTTACATAAATGGTATTCTTTAATTCGTACATATTAGTTTATTTTCCAGACAAGTCTAATATTTTGATTGAATAAAATTTAGATAACAGTAACAATCATAACAACATTAGTGAGATCAACCGAATCCAAACCATATTTTGCTGTAATGTCGAGGTCAGACAATGGTTGAAAAACCCTTTCACAGAGCATAAAATACAAGCATACAAGATTCTGAGTTCCTCTAAAGAGGAATAGTGGACACTTACCTCTGCTTCCTCCACTGCAAAAAACTTAAATCTAAATATGAATTTTTTTTACTTAAATTAAGGGATTTCTTTCTTGACTTGAGGTAAGTGAGATACTTTGCCAATGGAACAAGACAATTTACATTTAAAATAAGAAAAATAAACAATTGCATTGTCTCATTTTGAGTGCATATTATTTTATCTTATTTTTAGAGTAAAAATACTAATCCCATTGCCAAATCATGTCATTTACCTATTCAAATTAAGGGTAAATACACACTTAATTTAAGGATTTAAATTTCTTTACTTATTTCTAGATTGTTTTTGCAGTGCCCACTACTGAAGCATCTGGATTTTCTATGAGGTCTAATCTGATCTCGCTTTCTCTGACCCACACATACTGTGCATTTCCTCTGTTGTGACACCAGCCAGTCTCAAAAGCCTTGCCATTCCTTCCCATTCCGTATTAAAACGTCTTTTTTAAATCTCTTTTGAATTGCTCTCCTCCTCATTTTTCTTTTGATCGGTTACTGCCTGCAGGCTCTTCACGCCACCCATATTTTTCCACATTTTGTTTGAACAAATCCAAAAAGAGTGGGGCTTTCCAAACAAAACAACAGGCTATGTGATTGCACAACACTCAGTGTCGTCTGCTGTTTTATTGGCTACCCGCCTACATGGCAGGTACTGTAAATTGATAGATTTACCTGCCAATCACAAAAGTTACCCAGAATCGGTGTGCAGTTGGGGTGCCAATTTCATGCCCACATTAAGAGACATGATAAATATTCAATTTGTGTTTTTTTAATAATAAAGCCATTGATTTCACCATTAAGCTGTCTTGTGTGATTTTCTCTTTTCCCTTCTTCTCTATATGTTAATTGCCAGTCCCTTGTTACAGCAGTTTGGTACTTCACAGTCAGTCACATTGTAAGTTGCATGCTTCTGTTGTTTGATCTAAACAAGATGGCCAAACATGTATACAATAGATCATGATAAAAGTAAATCACACAATAACCATAGAATCAGACGGGCTTTGCGTTTAAACTTTATTAGTCGTTTCTGTTATAGTTTAGCAAAGCAAACATCAAAGTATGAAGGCATCATTTCATTTCATAGAGCTGTAATTCGTCTCCTCTTTAGTATAGCATCACCAAAAATAATAATCAATCCTTATCCAACTATTAAAAGAAAGTAAAACCATTTTAAGTTTAACCCAAGAGAACAAAACAATAAATGATTAACAACAGGTAATAGCCATCATGAGATGTAATTAAAAATACAAATCATCTGCAAGCAAAACACAAGAGAAATAAATCATACTTGGCCCAGTTCCTAAAGTCTGACACCTTTTTTTTTCTGATATGAAATAAGGCAGATTCCTTCCATACAATAATAAACAATCTGGAAAGAAGACGCGCAAAAGCGAAGAGGACTAGTTCCTGTTTATGTTTGAGAAACTCAAAGCAATTTTCTGGCATGCACTGGAAAAGGTGAAGAAAGCAGAGAGAGAGAAAAAAAAAGACCTTGTCAATTTGTCAAGAGACACACACATCCTGGTTTGTGTTCCTGATCTGGGATGTTAGCAGATGAGTTGACTGGGAATGGCACATTGCCTTACAGCTATTGGCTGATTTGACTTGGCGCTTCCCCAGCATGTGATGAGACAGAGCAGGTGTTAGTGTAGTGCACTCTAAAAGCCCCATAAATGCAGAATATTAACCTGTATATTGCCGTGTTGGAATCAAAGGAACAAAAAGGTTGATGTCAAGCCTCATCCAGTCAGGGGTGTCAACATGTACAGTAGGAGCGGGTCTGCTGTCCTCTGACAGCTTGACCGAGCTCTCACAGTGGCTTTTAGCAAATGAAGACTTGAACCTGGTTCGTCTCTTCGCACCCTGCTGGCAAAATGATGGATGACTAACACACAGTGAGGTATGGCTCATCTTTTCTGGTTGATATGTTCAAGTCCCATAGCAAGGTTTTGTACATACATTTACATACAGTGCATACATACTTTAGGAAAGAAAGAGGAGATGGGAAGCTAATTAAAGTAGGGAATGTGAGCATCATGGGAAGTAACTGGTTTTCCTGGGCCAATGTCAGAGCCCATTCTGACATGGGCCAGGCTGACACCAGTGGGGTTGGCCTTTGCACAGTTTTCTGGCTGTCAGATGAGGTTGATTGTTCTCCTCTCAGCAGGTCATTCGTTGTTCTTAATAGTTTCTAGAGCGAGAGAGTAAAGATGGAATAAAAAAAAATACTGTCAGACACTTTGGTTTTTACTAATTAAAGGTAACTGAATACAATTCTCATTTGTAACATACTAGCATTTAAAGAAATGTACTGTACTAAGATCCCTCTTAAAAACTGCCACTTCATTTTGTACCAGATGTAGATAAAAGGTCAAGGCCTTGCATTCTGTTTTGGATAAAATGTCTTTTTATAAGTATAACATTCAAGTTTTGTATTTTATCTGTTTGAATGTATGTCATATATGTGAAATGAACACTGATTGGTTGGATGTGATGATTTGAGCAGATCCCTGCTTATTACTGATAAAACCTCAACAAACACTAGACTAGAACTCTATGAAATTTGCAACCTTCTATTGCATAATCCAGACAAAAAGGCATATATGATGTTTTATTTTCTTTTTTGTATACATGTCAGCAAAAATTTTTGGTCTGCCGAAGCTAATGGAACACTGACAGCGGTACCAGCATTTAAACAAGACTGTTTTCTAAACCTCTGGAAGATGAAATTAGCTATCCGATAGGGACGATGTTTGCGAAACTGGTGCGTGGGAAGATAAAATGATTGTTGTTCTAACAAGATTATTAATTTGAGGTTATTCAATGTGCTTACTTTGATAAGAACTAGAAATTTATATTAAAACTTCCATTTATATTACTACTTCAATCTACTTCAACACTGGTTATAAGAACTTAGCACTGATTAGATATTTTATACAGTGTAAAACCTATGTAAACATAAAAATGTAGGCATTAACCTTTTTTTTTGTTTGTTTAATGCTCAAATAAAATATGAATGTCGATGTGTGTAATTACCAACATGGTAATTCTTCATGAAGCAGAAGCAGGATTTGTCACTAGAACACGTCTTGAATTAATTTTTTTGCACTTGTTGAAATAAGTCCATAAGATTCTGTTTAGTATATAAGTGCTAAAAAAGAATACTTATTTAATTACATTAATGTCATTATCATTCAACAAAATACTTATTGACAGCACTAAAATATTCTGTAAAACTGAATCTTTAAATTCAGTAAGAAGAGATTTTTTTTAAACCATGAGGTTGGTCTGTTTTCCAGCTTGTCCACCTTTTGTGAAGCTAAACTAATCCGTTACTTATACTAAGACAAGTGGAAAGCCTCGTCCTCTTAAGCTTTGCTCTAGCTAATTTAAAAGCACAGTATACTCTGTGCACATTCCTAAAGCAGCATCTTAAACTGATTCTGAAGCTTGTTAGACAACAACCTTTTTCTTCCCTGGCGCTTTATCTGGCATTGTTAACGCTTTCTTTTCTCTACACCGTCCAGAGTATCTCTGCCAACTTATTTCATATGTTGCTCCTCTGCCCTATTTATTCAAACCAACAATCTGTTTATAGCAGATGCTTAAGTTTCTTTTTTTCTAGCCGGAAACTTCACGTTGCAGTGCCAAAGTCTCTATTTCTGGCTTAACAACCTTACTGAATAAGGGAAAAAAAATGTGGAAACAGAAATGCAAAACTCCTTTAGAATGTGTCAATATACAAATGACATGCCAGCCTAATACACTGAAACCCTAATAGAAATCTGAGAGGAACAGGAGCATAGTATCCTTATCAAACATGATTTATTGGCATGATTACTGCCACTGCAGTCTGAAGTTGCTCCATGTTAAAATAATATACATTTTACAGTTGATTTATTAAACATCCAATGGTCGAGTTTTCAGGTAATTTATCACACTCAATCTCCAAAGGCGTGCCAACACTTGTGTGCTGAAATATCAGGGTTAACACTGCAGACCTGAAATGGGTTGAGTGGAGTTACAAATGCATTTGGCCCTGGAGGAGCACATACAAACTGCCTGCCTCAACAGAGCAAGCCAGATGGAGATAGACAAGGGGAAAACTGATGCAGGGAGGATAAACCTGGGCAACAATTTACTGCACAAAGCTGAGGATTCTCTGAATAAAGGTACTTTTAATTCAGCAGCAGTGGGCACTAATAGGATACCTCAAAAATAGAGATGTGTGTGAGATGAGAGTGAGCCCGTGAGAGGTTGTTAATGTTTCCTCCGTGCCCTTACCTTTGGGCTTTGGGTCTTCGGGTTTATTTAAAAGAGGTTCTTCTGAGCTCTCAACAGTTTTCATCTCATCTAAGTGAAGAGAAAAGGGGAAGAAAAGGTTATGAGCAATGGAAATCTGCAACAAATCTAAGCAGCATGTCCTCTTCAACGTACTCTAATCATGCATCTATCTAAGTTGAATATGAACATTTCATTATCTAAAGGTAGTCATTTTCCTTTACAAGAATATAAACTTTATCATTTAACTAATTTATGATAGCTGCTATCATCTCATTTGCATTCTGAATGCGGATAAAAACTGTGATGTGCCATGAATTAGCAAATGCATATAAGCTGAAGAAAAAAAAATATTGTTTAGTGTTTTCACTTCAGTAATACCTTAAAAGTGCATTATCTGGATTTTTTGTGATAGACCAACATAAAGTAAGATATAATTATGAATTAGACAAAAAAATGATAGCTGATATTTCATATTATTTACAAATAAAACCTAAACAATCAGTCACCCATTTGTATTGAATAAATTAACTCGGATACAATTACTCTAAATGAAATCTAGTGGAACCAGTTGCCTTCAGAAGTAACCTGAGTGTAACTACAGCACATCTGTGGGTTATTTAGATCCTACATTATTACTGTTGTTATGTAAAGGACTCAGAGGCTGGTTAATTCGCAAAAACATTTAGAAACAAGGAGTATTTCAGACAGGCAGCCCCTGCCTGAATTTGTATTTGGTAGAAACACATTTAGCTACATTTACATTTTAAGGTCCTGTGGGATATGTCTAGCTTTGTAAACATAGACACATTTCTGCATATTTTCTTCACAAAAGATTGCTAAGGCAGGACCAAAATCGTCTGAATAACACCACTCAAATCTTGCTGCAGAGTATTTAGGTTAGGGAACTGCTTTGACTGGCCCATTAAAAACATGGATATCCTTAGATCTAGATATTCTTTATTATACTGAGGCTTTCTGAATATGGTGCCTGTCCTAGTGCAAGGTAAGCCTTCAGCAGGCTTTCTTCTAGGGAAGCTCTACCACAGTTTTCCTTTAAGGTACCCCACACCATGATGCAGCCACCATAAGGGTGTCAGTTGTTAGGTATATGGTATTCCAATTGTTGTAGATTATACCAAAGATTTTTCAATGAGTTGCTGTAGATGCAGCAATTGGAAGGATGTAGCGGCCTGTCTTACAGCTGATCTGGAGAAACCTCAGATTAAAAACACTCTTTGACTTTGACAGTTTTGTGAAGAAGATGTTGAGGTATTTTCCATAAGGTTCTTGATATGATCCAGAATCTGTCTTAGTAATATCATCTCGAGACATCCTATAGGAGTTCCAAGAACAAACACAGCTTCCTTTTTCAGCTTGTTAAGCCTCTCTTAGTAATTTGTTCTGATGCTACTCTACAAGGGTCAGGTAGAAAATAATATGCAGCATCCTTGTCCTTTTCCTCATCTTGTAGATGGCTTCACAGTTACATCTCTAATCCACGCTGTTGTCAGTTGAACTAAAAGGTATTTATACTCCACAATCTAGACTTTGCAAGCCACTGTATCACTTCTCACCATCGTTGCCAGTGCCGGGGAGTGTTTCTGATGTATCTGTAAAGCAGAACAGATAAACATATATTCAGGTATCAAAGTTGATCTGTTGCTAAGACCATTGCTATTAAGAAAGGTATTTAATTTATTATATCAATGTTTTTTCAACGTTCTTAGATAAGCCTCACACTTCTGACCTGAAGCTTTCTCTACCATTGTCGAAATTTCAGTTCCTTCCTAAAGAGTTATACTTCACACAAAGAACAAAAACATACACGCAATGGGTGAAAGACTCATGCAAAATTAATTACAGGCTGCCATCCCTGTAAGGCAGCTTGAGACCCTCCTCCCCCCTACCTCCCCATCCTACTTGTTACCTTTGTAGTCACAAAACTCCTTTATCATCACTCTCTGAGCAAACCTCCACATTTTCTTCTTTGGAACAACAATCATCCCAACAAAGCAAGCCACAAAAATAACTGCTTTCCCCTGGCAGTCTTGTGGTAGTGTAAACAAATACAACTGCTTAGACAGGATAGAAGAATGTGCAGGATTCACAAGGATGCCATCATTTTTGTTTGTCTGCAGTCAAGGTCATTTACCAGCTTGGTAAAAAGGCAGGTTGCTGCTTTTCATTTACAGGTTTTGATTGAAATATCATGCAGCCTTTAAAAGCAGACAAACAATCTGTGGGAAACATATTATTTTCATTGCTTTTTACTATACACTTATGGCTATAGCAAAAAAATACAATGTGCTTTTTTGTATTTAATCTGTTGCAATATTTCTGTGTACACTTTGCCTTTAGTAGACACCACAGGGACGGAAGTAGTGCTGAGGAGCAGAAAATATAAAGCAACAGCCATCTGAGCCTTTTTCAGAGCCTTTTACCTTCCAATTGGAGGCATGGGTGGCTCACAAACGAAAAATAACATAAAAGACAAAGTAGGATCTTTCCACGCTTTTCTTATAGAACAGACAATAATCTTCATACATAGTTTTCCTTTCAATTTTTACCTGTTAAAATACTTCTTTAATTTTGTCTTATTATTACTAATATTTACTCTGAATATCTTAGCCTTGGTATTGTCCAACAATTGTACTTTAACATGTAGAAAATGTATTCCCCGTGAGGTTTTAAACTAGCAAGTGTTGAGTGCTTAGAAATTAACATTCTGTTCAGGGACCTAAAGTTTGAATTTTTAATATTCTTTTTATTCATCTGATACTAAATTTTTGTTTCATAATCAGTAAGTCATAATTATTAGATTATCAACAAAACATGTCTGAAATATTTCCCTGTGTAATGAAGCTATCAATGAGTTTCACTTTATGAAATGAGCAAACTAAAATATTAGATTTTTTAAAAAGATATTCTAATAAAATCTTTCATCTTTGAAAAAAAAACCCAGATCTGGGAAATATGAAGTTGCTTGATGTTATAACAAAGCATGAATCATACAAGCTAGGAGACAACTGAAGGAGCTCACTAAAGCATTCGCCTAGTTTCAAACACTTCTAACATCCTGCCTCAAAGGTAATAACGGTACAGTCTTGGTGCTAAGGTAGCATCCTTTTCCTCTAATATCCGACAGTAATCAAACACAACAACAGAAAAAAATACAGTTTCAGCTGATTGTGGCCCCAGCCTCCCACTGCCTGCCTGAAGCATGGAGCGAGCAGCAATGTAGTTCTGCCTCACTCTCTAATTTGGCTCCTGTGTGCTGAGAGTGGAGAGGCTATCATTTAGAAAAGGATCTGGGAGTGCTCTGGCAAACACATAAACAAGATGGTACGCGAAAGGAAAAACTGGTCTCTGTCAAGATTATGGTGAAGGAGAGGCACAGTGTGCAGAGGCCAAGAAAAGATGAGTAAAGCCAGCAAGTAAGTTTCCTCTGCAGGAAACCAAGCAGCCATTACATCAATTTTTTTGGAAATTTGGGCCTCCTGCCTCTGTTTCACAAAATCAAACCTTAAAAACTGAAATACAATGTTGAAGAATATTGGAGTATTTCTTTATTATTACTATATTATTGTGATAAACAGTTGAAAAGTAAGACTGAACAAACATTTTTGTAAATACATTAGGATTTTAGTACATAATTAATAAAAACAAAATTAGTACACATGTAACTATGTCAGTAGGAATGCAGCTAATCTTTGAAAGGCCTCAGAGGTTTGCTAGAGAACGAAGATCATTAAGACAAAGGAACAAGAAGAAGATACTGATGATTTATGAAGCAGGTTAAAAACTCACTCCACGCTTTGAAAAATCACAATGTTCAAATGTCTGAAATGTAAACATGTATGACAAAACTGCAAACCTACAAAGCTACTGTATGGCTGCCCACTGAGATAGACACACTAGCTGACGAGAGAATTAATATGCTAGGTAAAAAGGAAAACTCTGGAGGAACCGTGGAGATCCACAGCTTGGGTGAACAAATCTATAAACACAAATTATGCACTAGTCGTCATAAATGCTAACTAGTGAATTTCTAACTACTTCGCATAAATGCTAACTAGTGAGTAGTAAAAGGCAAACTGTGTGACAAAAATGCCATATGTGGTCATGTTTGCAGTTTGCAACAAGTCGACCCAACACACAGGTAGAACATCACGTTCTGATATAATAACGTCAAAACAAAATCCTATAGCCTACATAAAAAAATACAGTGTGCAAAAAATAACAGTGCACATCAACTTTGAAAGATAATCCTGAAATTGTCCCATGGTGAATACAGCATCACAATGTGGGATTTCTCATATGTAGCAGTGACTGGAGGAATAGTCAAATAGGATGAAAGCGAAATACTAGGCAGTCCTAGAAGTAAGCCAGTCCGAGATATGTGCTAACTACTCCAGACCTTAGAGATTTTACACATACATTCTGCACTTTTCAGATTTAAAAAAAGACATGAAAATATATTCAGTCTCTTTAATTTTATGATTATGCACCGGTTGTGTTGGTCTTACACTCGGTTAACTCCAGTCCTGGAGGGCTGGTGACCTGCAACATCTAGAGGTGCCTCTGTCTCTACAGACCTAATTCAACTGCTGTACTTGGGTCTTTAGCTGGACTCTCTATAACCTCACTGCATGCTGAAGAGGTAACCATTTGATTTTGAATATATTGAAGTTGATGTGGAGATCATCAAGAGGCGTAATGAATTATTCAAACACTGTGCAATAGGTCAGAGAAGGAAATACAAAAACTCTAAAATGATTGCAAAACTTTTGCCATCTTTAGCTCCTCATGTCAGTTGCAGCCTTGGGAAGGAAGTGAAATGTGCATGTGCTCTAATCCACACAGAAGAGGGGGATAGGAAGGAAGAGAGTTGGGCATAAGTCACCCTCATCTGCAGACAAGCAGAAAATTACATTCCCCTACCTTCCATTCATTTATTAGACAAGGGGTAGTTAGCGTTTTGTTGGTCAGCATTAGTGTTCTGCACAACAACAATCAGCCGATGCAGAAAATCTCTTGAACCAGGCATAAATGGCATTTGAAAATATGAAAGTATTAAAAAAACAGATATTTAATTAGTAGCATTGTTTGCTTGATAAGATGCCTATTTTTCTCTTATTTTTACCAAAGCTGATCTGTTACACCACTGTTAACGGTTTTAGTGCTCAGTAAGCTCAATGAGGAGGTGGTCTCTGTGTTCACACAACAGCTTGGGAACAGAATCTGCTTAATGTTCCAGAAGGGACCCTTGGGCAGAACAGGAGGTTCTCTTTGTCCTACAGCCACGGGACATCTTAGTGACATTTATTCAACTCATCCTCTTTGAGGGTAAAATAATAGAATTTGTAAAGAAAAGAAATCGATGGAGGTGTGGAGATGTCTAGACCCTGCAGGGTTAGTTCCCCTGGAGAATTTTTCCCCTCCATTTGATCCCCAAGCCATGGTTTTGAAACGGTGGTGTTCAGTGTGTGAGCCGGTCTGGAATATTTGATCTCCAGATCAAACAGGTGTCCAGCTGCTCGCACTCAAACAATGACCATGATCCATCAAAATCTCAGCAGAGGGAACAGCCAAAAGCAAGTCACTGTGGATGTCTTCTGGTTCACCATTTATAGACACAATTCTTACAGTAAACATTAAGTTCTTCTGGGTCACAGGAGTATTTCTTCTTTGCGGATGTTATTTGGCACCTGGAGACCATTTGAAAAAATAAAAAGATAAAATGTGGAGACTAGCAGCATTATGTGTTTAAGCTGAATTTCCACATGATGAAGATAATTTCCTTAATATGAAGGATTGCTACAAATTCACTGAGCTAACACAGTTTTCCAAGCTTCAGAAAATAACATTTTTACTAACGGGTATTAAATGATGTACAAAAAGTTCACTGCTTTGTAATATAATTTGGAGTAGACTCTGTTGTGTGTAGGAAAAACTAAATCTCACCAAATGATTGAGCTCCAGTGTAATGAACTAGATTCTATTTGGACTATACTACAACATTTTCAGTTTGTAATGAATTGAATCTGTTGTGTAAAAGTCTTAAAGATCACATTTATTATAAAATGATGGTTTAACATACTGGACAGCTACACGTTTTAACTGTTAATTTCCCATAGTTCTCAATAATTTTACGTTTTTAAAGTATACTGTAAATCCAACCATTCACTTGAATCTCTTGCTGATATTTTTTAATCTCTTCTCATTTATTTAAAATAGAAACTGCAAACACCACTAAAAGTTAAAAAGAAAAGAGGACAGAATACACAAACTGGTGTGGATTGATTGATTGATTGATTAATTGACTAATATATACAAATTTCGGACCATTGAATCAAGTTTGAAAACAGAGTTTTTTTCCATAGGTTTGCAGACTTTTTAAGACCCAATGTAAGAGCCCTATAAATAAACGCCATTAAATGAGAGCAAAAATAATTGTAGAATGTGAACCCGGGTGGTCTTTAGAGCCTCTGGTCGGCCCTGTGTTGGGCCATATGAACTAAACAAGTATCAAAGAGCCTCTCATTGAACTTTACATGGACTAACAGCTTTGGGCCAGGCATGCCTACTGCAAAAATAATCAAATACATCC